ATTTTATAATTGAAAATACGTTTTTACTTGTAAAACTATCGTAGGAAGAAGGGGAGGTGGTTGGAATTGCTACAAAAATAAAGATATCATTATGAAATGGGACTCATTCCGAAAAACTAAAACCAACTAAAATAATGGCAATAGGGAAAAAACATTATAAAAATGTTTGTTTCAGAAAATCAATTAAAAAGTATAAAAAAAAAAATACAACATAAACTGGAATGAACATCTGAATTCGATCCCGGGCTTTTTGGGCCTTAACGCGGTGCGCCACTGTACCAGGCTCATTTACATAATAATAGACCACTTGACACTTTTCACCGAATAGACTACATTATATTTTCGATAGTTGCCTAGTTAGTGCAAGGGGTTATCCATCAGTGTCTAGGGGCCGGATAGCTTCTCCCTCTCACTGGCTTTTTAGTTAGCGCGAAGTTAGGACCAATTATCGGGATAGCATGGAAGAGCCGAAATCTCTAACCGGAATGTAAATCGATTCGACGCCTCAGCTTCACAGAATGTCTCGGGGGAATCGTCCCAAACTTTTTTCGATTTGTCGTCAGAGGTTCGAGTCCCAGCTGGGTCGTGTTCTTCTTTTTTCCATTTTTGTTTCTTGAAATTTATAGCACCATTTTTTTATATCGCAAGATTAAACCCAGATTAATACCATTTATCGTCATTGATATGCGTGTGCCTTTCTGGGCCACACCTAGTCCAGTCCTGGCCTCTCGTTTCCGACGCTCGCGGAATCGCTGGGGAAAGAGACTCTCTTTCCCCAGCGATTCCGCGAGCGTCGGAAACGAGAGGCCAGGACTGGACTAGGCCACACCCTAATATGCAGGARGTACCTTACCTCGTCATAGAACGACAGTTCCGTCATTGGTCACGAAATGAACTCAGAATAAAGGGAATGACACACTCAAGAAAAATAGAGAAAAATATAAAATGGATAGATTTACGAAAAATGAAATTTCTTCCAGAAGACTCATCTCGTTGCTTTAGCTCTATTTTTTCAGAATMAGGTCGATTCACATTATCAACAAATAWATCATAATTTCCGTTTCTAAATTTTGAGCCCATCTGGTTTTTAAAAAGAGGATTGGATGCATGGATCATGATTTGATACTGAAATGCATGATAGTCACGGCACTTTAGACAAAAAGACGCTTGGTGAACGTCAGGATACAAGGTTTGGACCTTGTTTCGATATAAAAGCGAGAGCGTAGAGTGGACAAATATATTATTACTGGGGGTTATGCACCTATCAATGTCTTGCCCCAACGGGGGGAGTGCGGGCATACACGGGCAATTGAAAGTAAAATGTCACCCGTTACTGGGGGCAACTTGARTTTTATTGAAACATGGTTTCCCTCTGGGTATAGGTTTATTGACATTTTGATCGAGGAGGGTTGGAGTCGCAAATGTTATAAATGAAGGAAAGGTGGCAATAGGTTGTGAAGAAGGTAAGATTCTTCAAGTATAAAGATGCCACCATGTGTGAAAGAACTTTGATACAAACAGTTATGATTTTCACAAAATCTATCATGCCTTGTGTTTTTAATAAAACTGGAAATATAGTTGAGGCTTTGAGAAAGTTTCAGATAGACTAAAAAACCTTTCACTCGGTTACAGTTACAATGAGGGTATTTGAGAAATATTGARAWGAACATAAACCCCCAGAATGTGGGCTACTGACAAAAAATTATGAAAAATATCAATAGCCCCTCATGGGTATGCCAGCACTCACCCCGTTGGYGCAAGACATTGATAGGTGCATTACTACTAACAATAGTGTTTTTTGGACAATAGTCAGCTCTATCAAATAAATCAGTACAAACAAACTGATTAAATATTCATAATTTTATTTGTAAAATTTTTTTTGATATCAAAATATATTTTTTTGATGAAAATGACATGATTTTTCTTTTCACAAAATATTAATTGATTCTTCTTTTATTTAAATGCTAGCAAGTCCATGTGCACAATCAGACTGACAGTTTACCATTGTGATTCAACATTTTAACTCTCTTAGTCAACATCTCTACCTAGCTCTCATCTTCTATTTCCCCCCCACTTCGGATAGTTATGCTATTCCAGCATTACTTTCTTTCAGATGGATTCGTAACCAGCAGTTGATCCTGCACCACAAAGGTTTCCTACTTTAAAAATAGTAAACATACACCCAATCTGAAGAAAATAACCACAGTCAACAACCACAGTCAACAATACAGTTAACAATACAATTAACAGTCATGTTAACAATACAGTTAACAATACAATTAACAGTCATGTTAACAATACATTCAACAATACATTTAACAGCCACTGTTAACAATACATTTAACAGCCACTGTTAACAATACAGTTAACAATACAGTTAACAATACAGTTAACAATACAGTTAACACAGCTTTGGCTTAAAGGTGTCACTAGTTACTAAAGAAATAAATTCGTATGTGTATTAAGGACTAATGTTGTAACTAATAATGTTGTAACTTTCAAGTAAAAGTACAACAAAACCTGACATTCCAAACTATCATGTACAGATTTTAATGATCCAATTTTAATTTAACTTAAAAGTTTGATGTCTATCAGAGAACATGAATATGTTGTGTACAGTAGTGCATGGTGGGTCTAGACTAACTTTGATAGCCATATGACAGATGAATAATTCAAAATGTGACAAATACCTGAACTAAGGTAAAAAAGTTCACCCAGAATGAGTAATTTGGTATCATTTCTTTACCAGTAGCACCTCTGGAGAACTTTGTATAGATTACTCCGCCAATAAGATACACAAACAATACAGTGAAGAATCTGTCAAGAACATGTCAGCTATTAGTCAATCTAGCACATAATATTTTAAACACATTTAGATTATATTTTTCCGGAAAATTAATCTCTGACCTCGCTGGGATTCAAAGGTCTAGGATTGTAGGTCTATATACTCACGTGATACAGAGTACACTTCCAGCACTTAAGTGCGAGTTACCAATTGGACAAGCGTACTTAGAATAGAGCCTAGAGTGCTATAAAAACATACACAAAAACCAATCGTCAAATAGACTCTTCACTTCAATATTATTAAAAGAGGATAACTAACTCACATAAATATTCACGTCATTACGAAGACTAGTAAGAAATTCCTCAAGCCTGCCTTCATCAGTACTGCAAATTAATTCAATCTGGACAAGACTAAAAATTCCAAACAAATATTAAAAAATATTAAAATCATTAATGATATATTGTTTTCTGTTTGACATCCTTGCAGAGAAACACATTCATAGTGAACTTAGGGACCATAGAGCTGGGGGGATTGGCTGGTGGATTTTTGTTTCCCTGGACATATTCTTTTGTCCCTGAGCTTCCCATTAAAAATGTCCCATTAAAATTGTAAACATAAAATTCACATGATAGTCATAAATAAATGCTTATTTGAGGTCAACTGTGCCCCATTTACAAAGAGCCACCTTAACCAAAAGCTTGAAATAGCATTTATGTCCAACAAGAAGGAGAAGAGGCACTACAACCAACAAAATCATTGAAGTTGAGCATGGTTCCTTCAGCCTGCTTGTGTTTTCATCTTATGGTGGATGCGGAAGAGAAGTGGAATGTTTTCTGACTGAACTAGCGCAAAAGGTGTCTGAGAAGAAAAAATGTGCTACATTGCTATGACAACGATGTCATCTATTGGCTGAGAGCTAAATTGTCATTTAATCTATTGCGATCTGCTGTTTGATGCATAAGGGGTCCAAGGACATTACGAAAGAAAACTACCTTTGACATCAATGACACAATTTTTTTCAAACTGTGCCTGCTTTTGACAATATCTCAAAAGAATAATTAAGTTTCATCATACAATTTTAGTACTGCAATATAGGGCTCTTGAATGGGAGGAACTAAAACATATGACGCCTTAAAAATCTTTACATAATTTGGTGAAGCCCTCCAATTTTCCCACCCCATTTGCACCAGCCCATCCCCCCTCCCCTCTAATAAATGACCAGTCCCTTAGCCTCCCTCCCATCTGGTTCTCTCTATTATGTATTTATCTTTATAAAAATGTCTTGAAGCAAAATCTGCACTTAAATACTCTGTATGTAAATGATACCTCAGAGCATGTCTGTTATTATAGAGATATAGAGGATATTATATGGGAGAGTAGTCTCTTGTAACAACCATGACTTCAGGTTACATCAAATTTCCTCCCCAAAAGGTTACTTACTGGAGGAAATTTGACGAAATGGAAGTCATGGCTGTTAGAAGAGACTAATGGGAGATATATGTGTGGGATAAAAATTTTATCTTTGAGTATTCCATCAGCAAAGCATGATGGTAGTTATATTCCTAGTCTACAAAAAAAGTGTAAAAAGGGCTTGGAGGATAAGTGTGAGGACTACAACCACCATCATGCTTTGCTGCAAATTGCCTTTTGATGTCCTCATGCATGAGTGCAGCAAACATCATGGTAATAATGTTATTTTCACATGTAAAAGATATAATACATTTTTTAGCAATTCACTGAAGTCTAGATTTCAGTCCATATAATCTTCATTTTCCAAAAATTTGTATGTTATATCATTAGTTATTTACCTGGGCTGAAAAATAACATTTCCATCATAAACAAGGTCGCATTTCTCGCTGTTTTGATCTAAAAGAAATCTTGCAGTAGAAGCATTTCCTATGTTAGCATGGTAACTATGACCTTCTTGGGATCTTGTCATACAAATCTAAATACAAATATACATGAATCATTCATAGTTGGAATTAAATAATATTTTGTCTAACAAAATGAATTTTATGGCAAAAAATTACATTTAGCAATATATTTAAATCATGCTAGTTTACTTGACGTCAGCTTCTGGTGGTAGGTAGAGGTAATCTATAAATTGAGAAGCCCTCTAGGCTGTTGTTCAGTTGGCAACTTGTTAACCTCCTCCTCCCCAGACCACCTCTTGCTTTATCCCGGACGTGCGTTTTTGAGCCCTCACTTTCGTGCAGGGATGTTATATTAGTTTTTATTTATATATATTAAGGTGTATGATTTTTGTGATAATTAAAGTAAAAGAGCCGCTATGTCCACGACATTAGCCATTATTTACCCAACTGGATATCGACTTGCTTGCACGAACAAGCTCAGCACATTTTGCTTAAACTTAAACATTACTGGGCCTTAATTCTTGGTTTGCATGCAGGTACGTAACAGCGGCCATCTTGGAGGAACTTTAACAAAGGATTTCTCATTAGTATCTATTGTTCATTCCTCCAACATGGCCGTCGGTCTTTTATCTTTTGAATCTCATGGGAATGGGTGAAAACGATCAATTTGAATTTGGAGCCATAAATTCTTTTTTACTCTAAATTTATAGCATTAACACACATGCATGCAGGTTTTGTAAGTTTGTAAGGAATTATCATAGTTATATAAATATAAACATATTTTAATATTTTAAAACTATTTTAATATTTTAAAACTATGGAATTATGTCTCGATCTTCAAGAGCAATGTGCCCAGACATCTGATTAAAAAGGTATCCAAGTTGGAGATTCCTTGCTCATTATCTCACAGCGATACTGAATTAACCTTACTGAAGTGTCTTCTTGACAAGAATTGAAATTTGCAGTGTCGTTTATTTTGGTCTGTAACACCCATGGAGTGCACGGGTTCCAAGAAAATGACAAGTAAGAGGAAACTTGATCCTTGATGTTCTTAAATCTAAAACGACAGAAGAAAAGACAAGAACACAAGTAAACATTTTTGTGAGTGTTATACCAGTTAGGTGTAAATGCCAGTCTTTCATTAATAAGGTTAAGCTTAATGAGTACGGTAAGATCGAGATACGACAAAACGAACCTAGGCATAGGTTTGTTGCCCTTATTAACCAGCGGCCACAAATTAATTACTCCCTTGTCTGTTGATACGGTGCATTTATCCAGGGTTTTGCAGAATTCAAATATCATGCTAGCATTCAGCACGTTAGTGAACATTAAAATTGTAGAAATGATGGTGAGTTTCCGGTAAYACGCCATGTTTACTTGAGATGGGTCCGACACGTGACTGCAGCGTGAACAAAAAAAACAAAAAAACAAAAACAAAAAACAAAACAAAGAAAAAAACAACAACAAACAAATAAAATTTAAAGACAAAATGAATATGACATTAGAAAATAAATATCTGTACTTTTATAGTAGACCATGAATACCACAGGTAGTCCAGATAGCTAGGATCATTCTATATTAATATGAATACGAACAGATACGAACAGCAAAAATATCAGGATATGTAATAAACAATCCTGACCTCAGATACCTCATACGTAAGAATGTGGTCAGTAATATTTTTAGAGTCTTGGATATTAATCTAAATTTTGGGTTACCTGTATCTGTTTGAAGTTGAGAGATTGGGGTGAGCGTGAGGAATGCCTTCCAAACATAGCCTAACATATCATGCAAAACATCCGTTTTCAGCAAAAGGAAATACTATTAAGCTTAAGTTAATTTAATGTTCAAACACTTCCTCACAAGAAGAAGAAGAAGAAGTAAGGGATCCAGTTTGTTGATATCATTATGGAAGATGACCCTCACGATAAAAATGAGCAAACCGAATGTCCAGACCCGCCACCGGGCTTGAACTTCGACGCCATTATACCATCWAATTTTGGAAATGAATACGAGGTAGCTTATCCCTATGCTAGCGATAATAGACCAGAGCATGTCAACAAGTTGCTRCCGTCTCATGAAAAACACAAGTCTAAAGTATTCATAAGACGTCATACRCAAGGACGCAGACATGCAATGGAAAGAAAACTCAGAGAGGCAGCCAATGAATGTGACTGGGGTACTTTGTGTAAACTAATCGATGACGGCGTCGATCCCTCTTGTGCTGACTCAAAAGGGAGGACYGCATTACACTATGCTGCAACACATGGCAATGAAGCAATAGTTAAAACATTAATAGATCATAATGCTAATACAAATGCAAGGGATTTAAATGGAAACACACCTTTACATCTTGCTGCTTGTTCTAATCAGGTTAAAATTGTGACACTTTTGCTGCGTGGAGGCACAGATATCAATGCTCTGGACTATACTGGACGAACACCATTTGATGTTGCAGTTTCTCGCCTCAGAATGCTCCAAAGTGATAAAAAYGTTCGAGCAGTTCAGTCAAAGTACAGAGATGAAGTAAAACAAATCATTGATATGTTAAAAGAATACTTGTATCAAACAGGCCTCAGAAATGAACAAAAAGAGCTTGATGACTTGTGCACAAGGTTYTCTTCAACAACAACTGTTGAACAAGTATGTATTATGGTTTACAAGACCAGAAAAACTAAGAAAGTGGCAAGCCTGATTTCCAGATGGGCCTCCAACACTAACACTTTTCTCCCTAAACTCCCTCTGTTTGATTTTTGCTAATCACCATTGGAAATCAGGCTTTTTTCAAAGAGGGGTGGTGTCTAACCTCACCTTAAATTGTATAATAATTTGGGAAGAAATATTCATTCCAGTCAACTTAACATTGATATATTAATGTAAAATCATAACCATACATTATTTATTCAATATTCCTTTTCAGATTGATGAAGTGCATGATTTATTGGCTAGTTTTACATCATTAAGCRTGTCAAGAGATCCTGGTCAATAACCAAGGTCTTATAACAAGCAACAGGAGACAGGACAGGGAAAGCAGATAAAAATAACAAAGCTCTAGAATTATTGAATATTTTTTCAATCATATTATTAAAAGGACACATTGTGAATAATGATATGTGAACAAAGGATTTTCTTTGATTACAYCATTAAACTGACAGAGACTGCTGATATTTTATTATCAAATACTGTATGTCAAAGATTGACATCAAGGAGCCTCTAAATTAATCTCCWCCATGTCATCACTTTCATTGCCTAAGGCATATCCCATAGAATGCCGTCTTTGTGTTTTTAATTTCTCTTTGATGTAACTCTCTTGATCAACTGCTTCTTCTTCATCAGAGTCAATTATGTCCTGGGAGGGGTAGCCTTGGGATTGCCTTCGTTGTTTTATCAATCTTGATGCTAAGCTTTCTTCAGTCTTGTTGTTCTTAGGATGAGGATTATCTTCTTCTTCTTCGGCAGATGTTAGGAAATCATAATGGTATTTACTGATGAAACGAAATATATACATATGAATATATTTTTTTTTCAAATGGAATTTCAGTTATGCCTGAAATCTGAATTTATTACTAACTTACTTTTGTGACTTCTTTTGTTTCATTGTGATAAATGCAGCACCAATTGCAGAGATGGCAAGCCCAACAACTCCACTTACTATGCCTACAATTGTCATTGGTTTTATTGCAATATTTCCATGGGGAGTTGTGGAGGTTTTTTCGGCATCTGGAATATGAATACAAAAATTTAAAACTCTCTATTAATCCCAATTATAAATAGCACAGCAAATAGAGTGCTACCCAGCATTGTATGTTGTAGGTGTGAAAATTGTTAGGCTAAGAAATATAGCTTTGCATATAATATTATTTCTTTTGGATTTATATTTCCAGTGTTCACTGCATGCAATGTTCAACTGCAACAAAGTTGAAGAATTTGTTGCTTAAAGTAGAGCACAGGTCCAGCAACAACTTTCTTWAACTTGCAACAATAGTTTTTGCTGCAAGATAATCGAAAGATAAGTTTGTAGAATTTGTAAAAGAATTGCTTTTGTCAATTGTTTGTTTCAGTAATTGTATGATTTTATGCAGCCATAAAYCTATAAATCAAAGTGTAATTTTCAAGATGTACCTGCGTCTATGATACTGATTAGTTTGACATTTTTCATGTATTGAGGTTCTGCACATCGCAGTAGTTCGCCATCAAATTCTTCTAAACCACTATTTTCATTTGTGAGATACTTGACAAGTGAAATCAATGCTTCTACCAATGAAGGGTCACACGAAAAAGGGTTTCTTTCAAGATATCTTGAAAATCAATTCATAAAAATATAATATGTTAATTCAGGGGAACTAAATAAAGGCACTCTTGGTTACTTACGTTTTACTTTGATACATTCTTGCCGGCTCACGTTGGATTGACGATTTTAGGAATAGAGCTTATTATATAAAATTCAATGAAATGGCAGGTAAATTAACACGTCACATACTCCGTACAAATTGGTTTACTTCTTATCTTCAAGATATAAATTGGAGTCTATCGATAAACATTCGGCTGCAAAACATACTTATTCTCGCGTTCTGCTCATCACCATTTCTCCAGAGCAAGAATAAAAATCCAGCATGTACCTACGTTTCTACGGGTCTTTTCATGTGACGACGAGAGAGAATCTTTTATTTAAGTTGTACAGCAGAAAATAAAATCTTTCATTCATCCCATAGCGATAATGATTGAAATTGTGGCAATTATTTTCAACTTACAATGTTTTTAACTTGTTTTTGTGGAAAACTTCTCTTGGTAGGGTTTTCAAATCATTCTCCCTTAAATCACTATAAAGAAACACACGCGCCGTTAACCACATTTCTTAATAGTCCAAAGTCTTATATGCGAATATCATACTTACAGATCCTCTAATGCGGGAGCTTTTTCAAGCGCATTGAGCTCGATGTCTTTGATATTGCTACCTCGAAGAATTCTGAAATATCAATTGTAACGAAAGTAGTAATGGAATCCTGGTAACACTGATGATCATAAATATTAATATCTTATTAACCGAGCGCGACGGCCGTACGGGAAGTTAGTTATGGACCGAGTTTTTTTCCACTGACTTTTGGACCGAGTTTTTTTCCACTGACTTATGGCCAGAGCGCGTYGCGAGCCTTTTTAAGGTAAAAAACGTTTTTTCTCGTTTCATCTGGTCCGTACGGGAATGTATGGCCTGCTTTTTATAGCCAATGAAATCGTGTGTTACATCCGAGCTATATTAATGAATGTATGTATTGCCTCATGAGTGATATGCAAACATTTGCGCACTAAGAATCGACTCACAGAAAGGATTCAAATACTTACAGTCGCTTGAGTCTTGGGAAATGTGCTAATGAGTTTGATTTCAGTTTTGGGATCCTACTTCTTGACATATCCCTTCAATTAAATACAACATAGCACGATATATAAGATAAGTAAGTGTACATCTAATCAGATAATAAAATAAGAATACTTACAGGACTTCGACCTGAGTGGCTAAGTCCTTTGGTATTGAAGGTAAATCGTTTAATGACGATTCCTGACATTTGACTGTTGTAAGTTCCCTGTAGCACACACACTCTTGTGGACAGAAACTACCTTGATCCTGGCATACAGCAAAATTTATAAGCACAAATACAACAAAAAAAGCAAGCGCTTTTTTGTTGCGCATTAGTTATTGATGAACTATAATGTACAGGATCTAGAAGACATGCTTTGTGCGCGCGCTTGCAAGTGCTATGACTGTGACGTCATAGCTTCATTAATAATTATAGTTTAGCAATAATTGTTTGAATTTTTGTTGTTGTGATATTTTATACTTGCTTTTCTTCAGCTTCATTCTTTCCTTTTGTATTCATCCTGTTTGTTTCTTTGAATCTGCCATTGTAACACTGGACTCGCACAACAGAATAAACAGGATCTTTTTAATACTTTTATTTCCATCTCAGAAGTTGAATCAAGTTTTCATCAGTTATCTTGTCTATTTTAAGTATACACAACATCTTTTATTCATCAATTATCTATTTCGCTTCCTATATTTCGGCGAATGACGTGACTGGGGAAATGTCACGCCGCCTTAACCACTAACATGTCACGCACACACAATCATTGCGAGCTCGATTCAAAATATAGTAAATTGAAAATAAAAACATTAAAAACCATATAATAAAAGAATTACTGTGGCAGGAATATATCAATGAGTGACTAGRTTTATATGATTTTGGTACTTTATACGATATAAAATTGTCCTCGTCACTATGAGACAGCGGTTAAACGTGTCACGAAATGCGTTGCGTCAGTGATGATAAATAGCCCGTCAATCAATCATGCTTTCTCATTCCAACGTCCAACATCAAATTCGTTGTCTGAAGTTGTTAGTTCGGAGCTAAAATTCTTTGCTTGATTGATCTCTTGGCATTTGAATTTGAAATCGAAAGCATCATTTGAACGTCATCAAAGAGCTCGAGGAATTTCTGCATTAATTGTGTTGCTGTGGTAAAGTTCCTGCGGCTATAAGCGGCTGCAAATCTTCCTTTCTCGTCATTATCAACACAGAAATTGAAGGCTTCTTGCTGCAAATGTCTATCTTATAATGGCGGATTATTACGATATTCTGGATGTACCGAAATCTGCTACTGAGCAAGACATCAAAAAAGCGTAAGATTACATTTTGACATGCTAGTCACATGTGCTTCGTTATTTCCTTTTTCGCACACTCATAATAAGAAGCAAAAGGAATGACGAGGAAAYTTATCATGACTGCATGGCAAAGTTCAATAACACAAAACGTGCCTTACTGTATTTATAATAGTATTCCCAGACCAATCCTTYGCGTTGATCACAAATTTTCTAAGCTCTGTTGATTTTAATCACTTCTGCTTATTCATGGATGTTTATTCTCTCCATCTTAAAGTTTATAACTTGTTGCTATGTGGAGTAGCACATAGATAAACACTGATAAACATAGGGTAGTTTAAACTTATTAGGGTAAGTGTAGAAGCATTATACGGTCGAGAAAACGACTCATGTACGGTTAGTCGAGACAACCCTGAAGAGATAGACAAGAACACTTCATGGCAGCTGCTAAAAAATTCAGCGTCCTAAAATATTAACAGGAAGTTATAGTAGACTATTCATTCGTTATCAACTCTGGAAGATTCTCTTATAGTGCAAAATTGAAAACTCTTTTATAATTTTCTGCATACTGGAATATGTAATAAGTTGTTTTAATTTTTATCTTCTCACTTATCGACCACAAAACCCAACAACTTATTTTTGCTTTTCGTCCATTTAGATCATCTATATATTTTGGTTTTACTTTCCTTTCCGATTTGTTTATATTTTAATCATCTAAACTCCCAGAAATTTAAAATGACTGTTTATTTTCTTAAATCTATAATTGCTTGACGTTCTAGATAAATTATATTGGTCTAGCATTGTGTAGTGTAGATATATAGCTCATAAATCCATCACAAATGCTTGAAACTTGGAATTATTATTTTGTTTTTGTGAGATTGACACATCTGATCTAGTGATGAGGTAGTTMTGTTTGTGTGTTGAATTATCATTGTCATCAAAGTTTACATGCAAAATCCATAGTTTATACTGTAATATTTGTCTCTTAAAAACACTGCTCGCAATGAGAAAGAGAATGAGTACTTTAATAAATATTTAAATWACTTTTTTATAGAACTGCCAATTATATTCTCTTTGAATGTGTTAATTTTTCCGTTTAGATTGTTTTATTGTTCTTAGGTGATATTTGCCAAAGAGTGATATATATTATTTGTTATAAACTTCCTTAATATGATTATATTGTGTATTAGAAAACATCATTGTTTTATTAGTATTATTGTATTTCTAGGTTATCTTTATCCACTGATCCTGAAATTAAGAAGTTAAAGTCCCATGTGTGTCCAAGACCATTGCACAATTTTGTCACATATGAAAAAATTCACTATCTTTGATTTTGAATCAATCGGAAAGCACTTTTCAACTAGCTCTGATTTGTAAAACAAAAGAAATGATCTTGAAGGTTCTTGGATGCACATGGGCCTTTTAGCTGAATAAATGTACAACTTTTCATTGTAATTGCATGAAAATTCCACATGGTACAGTAGTAAAGTGTCTGCGTCTACATATTGAAAAGCATCTGAAACATGCATTATGTATTATTAGTTTGGTTGAGATATGGGTTGTACTAACAACTCAGTATTCAAGCTGCATGTGTCTAGTCTGTAGGATCTTGTTTACCATAGAAATGTTGTCGAATTGGATGAAATTAGATATTTTGTCATCTTTATTTGTTATCCTATCCATTGTGTATGATAATTATAATTTTCTTTGATTTTAATTATTTTCTTTTCCATTTTCTGTTCTTCCCTTTCCATTCCTTCTGATGTCAAGTTTCTGGAAACAATAAGAATTAATGGCAAAACTCTTTTGTTTAGTTATCGAAGACTAGCTCTAAAATGGCATCCWGATAAAAATCCAGACAACAAAGATGAAGCAGAGGCAAAATTCAAAGAAATATCTGAAGCTTATGAAGTKCTTTCAGATGGTATGGTTGCATCGAGATACCGCAATATTTTTATATGCTTATAATTAATATATTATTCTTTTTCAGAAAAAAGAAGGAATATTTATGACAAATATGGCCGTGAAGGCTTAACAGGAGGTCAGTCAGTGTCATGATTTTACTCAAATTGTATTTGTACAATGTTAACACTTCATACCAAACATCATTTTAGGTGGAAGAGCTGGTGGTGGTAATATGGATTTCAATTTTGGATTTCATTTTCATTCGCCTGAGGAAATATTCAGGTATCAAGCACTGGATGATTTTTATGTTCTGGTGAATAAGAATAATTAATGAAAACCTAATTGTTTTTCCTTTTCAGGAACTTCTTTGGAACAAGTGATCCTTTTGCCAATTTTTTTGATGGTAAGATCTTCATGCTTTTAGTATTTAAACTTGCACTGGCGTCGTTGTGTCTGTTTAAGGTCATGGCATAAATTACTTAAAACACATGCAAAAATGAAATAGTAAATGAAATAAACAGCTGCAAGGTGCCATTCTTGGTCATAAAACTTTATTAGGTCTATAATTCCTGAGGCACTACATTTCATGTTTTGACTCAAACTCAGACCTACTATATTTGATTATTACAAGTGTTCCAGCTGGAGTCTGCTTAAAACTGTTTTTCATTATTATTATTTCTTTGTAGATGACTTTTCATCGGGGTTTGGTCCCAGTCTGTTCTCAAGAAACAGGAAGGACACAAACAACAGACAACAAAGGACGATGGACCCCTTTAGAGGTTTTAGTGATCCATTTAGCAATATGGGGTTTGGATTCAGTAGCGGTTTCGGCCGTGATCCATTTTCATCAGGAAGGTACTCAAACATCATGGATTGCTTATGTAATTTGTGTTGCCTTGTTATTGCCTTATGTTTCTTTCATTGATTATATTTATATTTTAACTGGAGTTATTTTTGTTTTTTTGCATTTCTAGCTTTGCATCATTTTCAAATTTTAGTGGTGGAACTGGCAGCAGTAAGTCAATCAAATTTTGTAATGAACCAGCAATARTAATGTACAAATTATCATGTTATTATAAATAACGCTGTTTGTTTTAGGAAACATTAAATCTACATCAACTTCAACCAAATATGTAAATGGCAAAAAAATCACCAAAAAAACGTAAGTTGGATGGTTTAATAACAATCAAGTTTGGTAAATGGAAAACATTTTAAAACTGAAGTATTTCTTTATTTTAGAACAATTGAAAATGGTCAAGAAACTGTGGAGGAATATGAAAATGATAGATTAATAAGGCGAATTGTGGATGGAACACAGCTTCAGTTGACAGAATAATATAGCAATTAAATTATTGTATTCAGTAGAAATTCATGAGTGGCTTTTTTAATTTTCTAGGAAAAAAAGATTTTGATATGTTTTTGTTGGTAATGTTATAATATTCATTGATGTTGCTTTATCCATTAAACAAGAGGTTGCAGTCGTACTCTCAGTATTTGATTGGAACTAGCTTGCAATCTAGGCTCATGTGTGTGAATTTCATCAAGATTCAACTAAAACCTGTTGCAAGCTTGTTCCAGTCCAAATTGAGGCGACAAAATATGAGCTTTTATTAACGGTCTAGTACAATATGAAGAAATATAGGCCAAGGATAGTTTTGTTTATTAACAATGGTAGTCTTTGTAATGAGGGGTTATATGTAAGCGTTGCTTTCACTGCGTTTATTAGAATGCAACAGTCAAAGATATAGATGAATTAGTACTTGAATGGCAATCGCAAACTATTTTGAATAAATAATGATGAGAGTTATTTTCTGGTTGATGCTTGATAAAGGAATTACCAATGAGTTAAGTGGTACCTATTCACCACTGACAGCCAAGCGAGTATATCGAGTATGCAAACCTCCACTTTTAGAACAGTCATTATTTTTGTAAAATTATAATCATTCAAGATTCGAGACTTGCTATTTAGAGTAGATATTAATTAACATGTTGGAGATTTGGATTTTGTGAAATATGAAATAATCTTMAATTTAAGATAGAGTGCTTGCCATATATCCATAGAATTAATCATGTATCATCTAATTGAATTGCTTTTAGTACAAACTAGTCAATATCATTGATGCATAYCAGTGCAAACAACATATCCTGTTGTCTTATACCTGGCTGAATCCTAATGTAGTCATAAACATTAAGTAGTTGCATCACAGATATATGATGAGCACTCTAGCATTTTTGTTGATAGTGCATTTCAGACCTGTACAATGCTTGCATCAATAATACTAATGTCAGTCAATAGTTATTGCACATACAAAGTACTCATGAAKTAATAAATAAGATTTTGACGCACGCATAGCGTCATGTCTACATTTCATAAAATTTATTTGTAGCTGAAGGAAGGTTTTTGCCAACCTTTTTTATATAGTTTTGTCAGTTATTTTCTATAGATACAGAAGAGGTATATTGTTTGATAATAAAATGGTTATATCTTTGAKATAACTGTTGTCTAAACTAAAAATGTGTATTTCATTTGTCTTGGGCCACATGTTCCACAAGTGGGAAGGAATTCATAGGGCGGCATGGAGTCCACTTTGGGATTGTTGCCCTTTATTTGTGATGACACCAAGTGTCTTATCCTGCACAGTTTATCTTGCATTCCATGTACCCATGACAAAAGGAGGGAAAAGACATCAAGGCTTTCAGATTTTGCTTTTGACCACAATCATCTTGCAAGTAGGATTAGGATTCTATGAATGATTCTAAAGTGTGGTTTAGGTGCCACACATGCAGGAAATGCTAAGCTTGCTGGACACCGAACTCGTCTTAAGCCTTTTCTGTACAGTAACACATTACCACTGCACTACTTTCAATTTTTAACTGTGAAGTTTAATAGTTTTTTAAATTTTTGAAAATTAATTACTTCCATGGCTATAACCGTGTAAATGTCTTTGGCTGTGGTTGTGTGCCATGACCAAACAACTCTGGACACAGACCTCTATCATTTACCAAACTCCTAATAAGTACACAAAGAACAACAGTCCACATTACAGTTCCCTGTATCATTTCCCTGGAAATGTGAGCTGACGTGATAGATTAACACATGTTTTGCACAACTAATATACACATGTATGAATCTTTTAAGCATGGGTAGCTAACTGGGCAACARAGGGAAGTGTTAAGTAAACTACTGTTAAATTATTGTGCTGAGTGATTTTCCAAAACCTGTGAAAAATAAAGAAAGTGTAATTATAGCTGAAGTCTTACACACCAAAAAGACAAGGAAAARGTGAAAAACAGTATYTCATGGGTTTAMAAAAACCACTGACTATATTGAGTATATGTCTATAGCCATTGACACAACCAAAACAGAACAAATATGAATTTTCTCTAGAAGACACAAACACAGTTTTGGTGTCATACTGTAATGTTATATGTATATGAGTACACAGCTATGAGTTACATTATTATTTCAAACCAATACAATGTACAGGACGGCATATATAGAATATATCTTATATACATGAAGAATTTTAGCTTATTTAATAACATACCTAACAATTAAATTATACCCATTACGACTGTAACTAAGAAGTGTCTTTAAGGACAATTTATACAGTATGATTATRACGAGCGGCCTACTGTAAAGAATAATAAAATTGGCTCCAAATTGCAACTGTGAATGGTTCTATGACAATGTGTGTACAGTCATTTGATTATAGGGCTTATCATATACATCACACGCATCAAGCATACCATGTCAATTGACCTTGAAAGATGGACTGCTACCCTTAATTTAGAGTAAATMTACTACAAATCAGCCAGAAAGCTAACATTAATCATAGAATACCAACAGTCCAGCTCACAAAAAATACACTTAAAAATATGCAGATATTCACACTAATAAGCACTAAAAGTTTGTAATGAATAAAATAATGAATATTTGAATGACAAAGTGTTTTAAAAATGCAGCCCTGGACAAATGTCACACAGAATCAACATAAACAAGAATCAACTAAATGCTATAACTGTCACACTTTAAATTATTCTGAACTTCAATATTCCATGATATTGTGCATCAAAATGGATTCGAAAAGTGAGAAGTGTAGCTTTCTTCCTAAACAGAGAAACATTTCTTATGGTATTGTTTTCTCTACTTGTCATGTCAAAATAGGAATCAATTTCCATAGCATTATTTCAACTGTATAAGGAAAACAGAAGTAAAATAATAGCAAAATATAATGTTGATAGGAAAATAAACTGTTGTAACTATTTGACCTGGGCTCAATTAACTCTTATAAAAAAATATTGATGTTGATTTGAATTGGCTAAAATTAATTTTTGACATAAATATTTATATTTGACACATTAAAGCATTGTTTACCTGTACACACATTATTTACTAACAAAATCCAATATAATTTTTCATTATTTTTAAACACAAAATGAGAGCTCATTAAATTTAAAATAAGGACTTCTAACAGCCTCCACTTGCAAGATGACTAGTTGTCAACAACTACTATTTATATTATATTATCGAGAACACTGTTTTTGCATCTTGTCAACCACTTTCACAGACACTTGTTTTAATTATTGATTTAATTGTCATAAAAACTAGTTGTCAACATCTACCTAGCTGCACTGTGGAGGTCCTAAGCTAATTTTAGCTTTATAAAATCCTACAATCTAAAATCTCTTTATGTTCTTTGTATATTTCCTATTAACATATTATATTTTTAGCCTCCACAACCATGGCAAATGTGTTAGACTGTTTTCTGACCAATGAAAACAGTTTTTATTGTCACATCTAACACATTACTAATGTCACTCCCTTAAAACTATCTACATCAATACTTTAGAATATAGCTATATAATTATTTATATATTTATATATATTTTMGTATTGACAACTAAAATGGATGCTGTTCAGCTTTCATCTTGGATCTCCATTTGGATTTCAGCTGGTCTATATAAAGGATTTTCTATGTTAGTAAAAAGATCAAGAAGGAGCAAATTATTGSAAATATTATCAAAATGATGGTTTTAGCTTTTATGCAGTTTTGGTTTGGCTTTGTTATAATAAACCATGAAATGACAATAATAATTCTCAAAAAATTACTTTTCTTTAACTACACCCATTGAGAGTGATGCCAGTGCAGATACTGTATCAAGTTCTTCCTTTTCTCTTTGTTGAGCATCTACCATTGAATGGTTAATCAATGATGCTGATCTTTTAACTGAGTTCCAGTAGCGACCTTAAAAAGTACAAAAATAAATTCAATGTCCAGCTATTTCTAGCCTTGCAGACAAACATTCATATAGACACCTGCTTTTGCAGACATAAAAATATACACCTATTTCAAAAAACGTTGTCATCACTAGGACACAGTCCACAGTCTTGAGCCTGCAAAGAATCTCAGGATTGCCATATATAATTATATATTCAATTTCAGTTATTCAAAATACTCCAATTTAGAGTTCTGGTTAAGCAACATATTCTTTTGTTTCATTGATAGCCTGAGAAAACYTATGGAATTTGAAAAGAGAGACAGTAGAATTGATATACCGAAATATCACTCTTTTATTCTCACTTAGGAATATTTTGCACACATAATTAGGCTAACACAGAGCATTGGAGAATTTGAAACTGGATGATTCTCAGTTTTGTAGCGAATATAGCTTTGAGACTCATTAACTTTTTGAAAATGTGGAATATTTTTCAAGGAAAATGCCTCATGACTTGTTCGATGGATTAATTGCCGCAATAGTATATTAGTAGTGTTTGCCGCCATTGAATTCAAACTGCAATATATTTTGAATGTATTACACATGGAAACCCTGAGATTCTTTGCAGGCTCAAGACTGTGGACTTTGTTGTGGTGAAGACAACGTTTTTTGAAATAGGTGTATATCCACTTCACTACTGATCACACTGAAAATTGTGGACATTTCAGTCCCAAATGTATTCAATACAATTATAAGAGTTGTGTATTTGTTTAAGACGAAAAAGGTCCTATAAACAATTTTTACTTTGTATAGCGATGGTCTTCTCAAGCACAGCTACAGCATTGCAGTTTGGTGGTCTTTTTAGGCTTTCAGCAGGGACTTCTGGAAGCTATCAAGAAAACACAACCTTCAATAAAGATGTTTGGTTGCTGGGCTGCGTGAATCAATACATAATAATCATTTATCAACAAGTAAGACATACCGTTTGTGAAAGAAGTCCCCTAATGCATGCTTCAGCACAGTCACACAGTGATGGTAAACTGTAACCACCTTCAAGAGCCATGACAATCTGACCATCAGCAAGTTCCATCAGCTGCTTGGTTAATTGGGCAAAGCCTATAAAACAACATTTTAATAAAACACTTCACTTTGTGTATCATGTAAACTGATGTTAACCCTTCTACAACACCAAGCAC